CAGACCACTACCCTACCTTCCTCCTGACAAACATTAGTAAACCATCATTTGAGTACAACAAAGTCTCATTTAGACTCCATGACGAGGCCTCAATAAGGAAGTTCACAGCTGACCTAGAGACTGCTGACTGACCTACAGAATTCTCCAAGGCCTATGGTATTGATGACTGGACAGACATTTTTCTCTACAAATTACTTAGACTATACAACAAACTTTGTCCTATAAAAACGAAACAGATCACAAACAAACAGCTTGGTTGCCCATGGCTAACCAGCACCATTCTGAAATCCATTGACAAGAAAAACCAATATGAAAAGCAATATAGACGGGCTTAATACACAAAGATTTCTTAAACACTATTCATCGTTCTCACCAAAGTAATTAAAGAAAGCCAAACAACTATAATACTCCAAATAGATTCACAGACACAAGAGGAGAAAATTAAAAAAAACCCGGAAAACACTCTCTCAGATTCTAGGGACCCACAAACTGAAAAAAAAACAAGAATATTGTCCTAACTAAACCTAATGAAACACCACTACATCCCACTGACACAGCTACAAGATAAACGACTTCTTCTCAACCATAGGTCTAATCTCGCCAATAAAATCCCACATACCAATGCCCATGCGGGGACTACCTAAAATGGGAATTTCCCAAATTCCCTTCTATCTTGCACCAACTGAGCCCACGAAGTCACGAGATTATAAGTCACTTAAAAAAAAAAAACTCGGGGAATCTGTTCATGTCCCCATTACTGTACAAGCAAACGGCCCATGTCCTTTCGCATGCTATTTCATTACTCTTTAACAAGTCATAGAAATAGCACCTTCCCGAAACTACTCAAGTGGCAAAGGGGTTTCACCAATACATAAAAGGTGGTGACCCCTACAGACTTAAACAACTATAGGCCAATATCAAACTTACCATTGCTATCCAAAAACTTGAGAAACTCGTGCACAGGAGCTATATTCATTTATAACGGCACAAAACTACTCAACCCTGCCAATTTGGATTCAGGAAAAATAAAGCACTAATGATGCAATCATAAAAATGCTAGATTGCTTTACACAGCATTGGAAAATAAGGAATATCCACTAGGAATTTTTATTGACCTAAGAAAGCTTTTGACACAGTAGACCATGAAATCCTACTCCACAAACTTGACCAATTTCGGTATAAGAGGCCATGCCTTGCTTATTTCAAATCTTACCTTATATTAGTTTCGGAATGTCCCATTAATTAAAGACACAGCCTCAAACACGGCCATGATACTGAGTTCCCAGGGAAGTGCCTTTGGGCCCTCTTCCCCTATACATCAATGATCTTCAAAGTATCTCAACCCTAACCCCCCTTCTCTTTTTGACGACACGACTTATGTCATTCACCTAATCTTGCCACCCTCGACACCATTGTTTATAACGAGGAGCTGATCAAAATATCGACTTGGATGACAGCAATTTAAAAATTTCGCTTTAAAATGACAAAACCTACTATATTATGTTTGTATCAGGCAGGAGATCACAAATTAACATTAAGATCACAAAAACTCTAATTACCCGAATAATGAGGGCAAACCTAGGCCTTACTTGACAACAACTGAATTTCAGCCCATTTTTCCTGGAGTTTACCTGGAGAGGTTTGGGGGTCAACGCGCCCCCGCGGCGGTTGTGACCAGCCTCATGGTGGATCAGCGCCTTTCAACCCGGCTGTTGCGCTGGCCACGCAACCAAATACGAGCACAGCCCGTTGTCAGAACTGTCTTTAGGTGCTTTTCAGTGCCAGCCCTTTAAAATTCAATGTAATTCAAAGGCCCTTAAAATCTGGAACACCCTATGAAACTCCCAGAAATGCAGAACATTTCATTTACCTTCAAAACCATTAGAAAAACATCTTATCCCCTGATACACCTATCAAACACATAAACAAAAAGTATCCAAAAAAGGTTTGGGATCCTCTCCAAGATACGATATAGTGCCGCAAAATGCCCTTTCTCACACTATACCACCACTTATTTATCCATTCCTCACCTTGCTATTGAGCTTGGGATCAACCTGCGCAAACATAAAGCCAATAATAACCACCAAAAAAGTGCAGTAGAATAATCACTAAATCCATCCCTGCAAACACCCCCCCACTCTTATAGATTAAACTACTCCCGTTCAGTACATTCACATTATACTGTGCAATCTACTTCTACAGGACCTAAAACTCCAATATCAACCTTGACCTAAAGCTTTCTTGACAGTTTGTGACAGAAACCCACAGGCATACACAGACACAAACAATCTCTACGACATTCCCGTGTCCGACTAAACCTTTACCAAAATTCAATGTATGTCAAAGGCCTTAAAAATCTGGAACAACCTTCTGAAACTCTAAACTGAGAACATTCATCACCTTCAAAACTACCATTAGAAAACATTTATCTCCCTGATACAAAACCCCATTAAATAAGGAATCCTGGTGGTTCACACTTACACTCACTAACCATTACCATAAAAGAATTTAAACTAATTTTAAAATAATGAATCCTGGGGAGACTCCAATATGAAACTATTGTACTGTGCCAAACCCAAAGATTCACTTGCTTAAACTCACCCAAATAGTTTTTTAGTCATTAGCATAATACCAACTTACCTCTATTTGAATATGTATTTTAAAAAAATTTAAAAATTAAACTAAGTCTGCCGAAATGCCCGTGTAGGTGTTTTTTGTGGTTACACTCTGTAATCATTATTTAATTTAAAGTAAACCACACAATAACCAAATTCTGTAAACTCAGCATTGTAATCCTTATAGAGAATAAACTTTGAATTGAATTGAATTTTAATTTTATTATCCTACATAGCAGCACATGTGTACATTACCTAGGATAACCCAAAAATGTGACTTATTCCAATGGAGTCTTTGATTTCCATTGATTTTATTGTAACTGATTTCCACACAGTTGTTTAAAGATTATAATCAAGTTGTTTAAAGATTATAATCATGACTGATTTCTAGTGAATCTCACAGCCAGGCCTTAAATATTACAAGGACCACAATGGAAATAAGCCGCTCTGACCTTTTTTCTGGGTTATCCTAGGTAGTTCAGACATATAAATTATCTGATAATTGTGCTTATGTGTACCTGTACTTAAACTCATTATGCACATCTTTGCTCAAAACATGACGTCTCTCAAGATAGGAATATAGTTTTTAACAGATTTAAATAGAAAGAATTAGTACGAAGTAACTCAAGCATCGGTGGTTCAGTGGTAGAATTCTCGCCTGCCACGCGGGAGGCCCGGGTTCGATTCCCGGCCGATGCACATTCTTTTTTTTTTCGATATATTTAATGGACAGAACTCACATTGTTTTTCTGGAATATTCGTGTGTTCCTAGAAGCTAAAAAATTATGATACTTTTGGAGGAGGGGGTGAACAGAGGCTGGTGGAAGAGGCCTTCGTGTAAGATTAAGTTCATTTATGTATAGATAAATACACATAAGTACAGATACACAAATTTAGGTGACTACAGTTATCATAGTAACATGTATAAATTACCTAGGATAATCCAAAAAACAAAAAAATAGATGACTTATTTCCACTGTAGTCCTTGTAATGCAGCAGAAATATTAAGTAGCATTAATTTATATAATGAGTTAGTGAGAATTACAATGTTTACAATGATTGATAAACCCCGAATTATGCAACGTATTTCTAGTAGTATTTTGTTATGAAATAAAACCCCAGTGAAAATAAATTTAGACTGACTTGTTTGGATTATCCTAGGATAAAACAGCATAATAAACCATATGCATGAGCCTCTAACACCTGTATACCTTGAATTACACTAAATTAAAACACATTAAAACTTAACCGGACGTATTGTGTTACCACAACACGTCTGGTTTTTTTTATCCTCTTGCCCAGGATGCAACCAAACAGCAGTCTACTAACTCTGAGGTACCTACTTACAATACAATTTTTAATTCTTTGTAAAGGTTATGTGTGATTTACGTTTTATCAAATGTTGGTAAGTACAAAGGCACTGACATGTCCCATGAAATCGTAATGACATACGGACATACCGGGTCAGTGCCGGGTAATCAACTTGATAAGACCCGGTCCGGAACATACCGGGTCAATGCCAGGTAATCAACTGGACAAGACTCGGTCCGGGACATACCGGGTCAACGCCAGGTAATCAACTGGACAAGACCCGGTCCGGGACATACCGGGTCAATGCCAGGTAATCAACTGGACAAGACTTGGTCCGGGACATACCGGGTCAATGCCAGGTAATCAACTGGACAAGACCTGGTCCGGGACATACCGGGTCAACGCCAGGTAATCAACTGGACAAGACCCGGTCCGGGACATACCGGGTCCAACGCCAGGTAATCAACTGGACAAGACCCGGTCTGGGACATACTGGGTCAACGCCAGGTAATCAACTGGACAAGACCCGGTCCAGGACATACCGGGTCAACGCCAGGTAATCAACTGGACAAGACCCGGTCTGGGACATACCAGGTCAACGCCAGGTAATCAACTGGACAAGACCCGGTCCGGGACATACCGGGCCAACGCCAGGTAATCAACTGGACAAGACTCGGTCCGGAACATACCGGGCCAACGCCAGGTAATCAACTGGACAAGACCTGGTCCGGGACATAACGGGCCAACGCCAGGTAATCAACTGGACAAGACCCGGTCCGGGACATACCGGGCCAATGCCAGGTAATTAACTGGACAAGACCCGGTCTGGGACAAAACGGGTAAAACGCCAGGTAATTTCAACTGGACAAACCCGGTCCAGGACATACCGGGCCAATGCCAGGTAATCAACTGGACAAGACCCGGTCCAGGACATACCGGGCCAACGCCAGGTAATCAACTGGACAAGACCCGGTCCGGGACATCCAGGGAACCACATCAAATGGAACTCAAATAAAGAACTATATTTATTGTACGGGAAACAAGTCGTTGGAACCCGGACCTTCATGTAGGAACCGAAGCCACGTCATGAACCACGTCATGAACCACGTCATGAGCCACGTCATGAACCACGTCATGAACCACGCCATGAGTCACGTCATGAACTACGTCATGAGACACGTCATGAACCACGTCATGAACCACGTCATGAACCACGTCATGAACCACGTCATGAACCACGCCATGAGCCATGTCATGAACCACGCCATTCTCAGTAGTAGTACCAGTTCCTAGTAACCAGTTACCAGTAACCAGCGTACCAGTAGATGACTCACTACCAACCGTCTCTGCGTGAATCACTGACTGTATTCATGCTGCTGACCATAGCAGGATTTCAAACACCCCCTCACATAGGCACTGTGGGTCAGTGAGTCTTACGATATAGAGCAGAGAGGCAGGACGGTGGTTGGTGCCTTCACACACATTCCATTATATTATACGTACTACCACCCTACGTGAGTATTTTTACCCTATCCACGTTTTCGAAACCCACATGACAAATGGTGGCAACGGTGTGGGAGCATGGATTTAAGCTTTTTTAAGGGTATTTGAAGACGTTAGAAGACTGTTTGTGAGTAGCCGACGGGTCAAAAGGTGAACCGTCTCACCCATCTCCAGCTACTCGCTCCCCTCACTCACCACCACCCTGTGTACTCCAGCCTGCAAGCCTGTTGCAGCCGTTTTTCAAGCTTCCTGGCTTAGTTCGTGTGCTAATTGCTTCAATCTCCGAGGGGTTGACCCGGATTTTGCAATTAAGCCAGTCAGTAAGCCGGACTGTGGAAGTGAACGCTAGTCAGCCTGCCTCAGCCTACCATCCAGTCTGTCTCCTGTCATCCACCTGCTCCTTCATGCTGTGTGCATCATTACACGTCTTCCAGTCAGCCATTCTCGTGGGTTAAGCCAGTCAGCCATTCTCGTGGGTTAAGCCAGTCAGCCATTCTCGTGGGTTAAGCCAGTCAGCCAACCCAGCTTCTAACCCAGCTGAGAGAGAGAAGTAAGCCACGCAAGTTCCTCTGAAGTATTGTCTCATATATCGCTTTGTGCTCCCTGTTGGATGCTAAGAGTGAATTTCACCATTCCTGTGGTATAGAGTGGCTTATCAAGCCACCTTCGTGAGTGGTAAGAGTGCGCGCCAGTGAGTGAGTCACACCACCACCACCCGCCACTCTACTCACAATCCACCACCACCACCAGCCACCCACCTCATCTACCTGGGCTGTTGCTCCCTTGTACCGGGTCCTAATACTGTTTTGGCTCACATAATTGGTCAAGAGATTGTAGCTGAGCGCCAACGATAAAGCCAGTTATGTGAGTTCACCGAGAAAGCGCAGTTCTTCACGACGACAGTGTGAGTGTAGGAAGTGTCGGAGGCGTCAGTCATCACCGCGCAGGACTTCCCCTTCACTCGCCCCCTCCGTCTATTTACAAGATCCAGTGATAATTTCTGTTTAGAGACATTTTCTTGCATTTAAAGACATTGCTTGTGGAGACTTTGTAAATTTTCCCGTGCACTTAGCTTGTGTTTTCAGTTGACTCAGGGGACATTTTTTTTTTTTGCAATATTTTTCAGTGTTATTCGTCATCTCATATTTTTTTATCTGTGTTTTTTTTATGTACTCTTGTCTGTATTATTTTGTGTAGGTCCAGTCTACTTCCGTGTGAAGTGATTCATTTTTTTTTTGATATTCTTTCGCATTGTATTCTCCAGTATTTGTCATTGTAGTTCTTTGCAGTGTATTCACCCATATCAAATTATCATTTATTCTTGTTTTTTAACCTTTTTTTTCGTTATGCCAGCAGTGTCTCATTCCTCTAATTTTTTTCGCAGACTTTGTACCATTATTTTCCCAGCAAATTTTTGGTATCAGTCAAGCAAGATTTTTTTTTTGTAAGGGAAATTTTACTAAAAATAATGAATACGTGATTAGTGTTGTGTGTCCGCCACTTGTAAGTGTTACACTTGCCTCACCACTTGTAAGTGTTACACTTGTTTTGTTTCCTTGGTTTATTTTTATTCATAATTTTAATTTCTTGAAAAATTACTCTTGATGAAATTTCAATTTCTTTTAACGAAAGTGTTTTTCTTTACTTGGTAAATTGTTTTGTCTATTTACATTAAGATTAAAGTGTTCAATCATTTTTTCTTCATATTTTTATTTTTATTATTTAAAAACCTACATTTTCCCAGTGTACTTTATTGTTGCAAGGAATTTTTTGTTGCACTTGTTCTGCAGTGAATTATTTTGTTGCACTTGTTCTGCATGTTGAATTATTTTCTTTATTGATTTTTTAGTTTATTTTCTCGTTTATTATTGCATCTTTTTTTCTTTATTATTTTCCTGAGTTTCTTTGGGCATTATATTTTAATTTTGTTTATGCATCTTAGAAAATATTTAAATTTTCATTACTCTCGTTGATAAATTTAGTAATTTTTATTTTATCTTTTTACATTGATTTAAATTTTTTAGTTAATTTCTTTATTGAGAGAAAGACAGCTCTTTTGCATTTAATTCAGTCTCCAGTAATATTTTTATTTGGGTAATTTCAATGTAATTTTTATCTTGGCCAGCATCTTTAATTGATTTGCCCTTCTCTTGCAGTGTATCTTGACATTTTTTTATTACTTTGCAGAATTAGTTGCATCTCTTTTATTCAATTTTAGAATTTGTATCATTTTTAGTGTTCATTATTTTTCCCTTATTTGTTCTCGTGCAACTTCTTTGCCATTATGTCTCACATGCCGTCAAGTGATACTTTAGTGAATGTCGACACTCAGACCTCTCAGGGTATGCTGCTCTGTCTTTCATTTCCTCTCAGTTCCTTAGCGACTGACAGACCGACCAGACACTGAGATACTATAGTTATACTCGTGTTCCCTTGATGCGTTACCTTTATTCAATGGCCATGTACATAGTCTTGAAGCGGGGGTTTACTGCCATTTGTTCTCGTGCTAATGCTCTAGTTGAAGGTCCTCCTTCAGAGGAAAGTCTTATCAGACTTGCTAAAGAAGCTCTTCATCGATCCCTGCTGCTGTTCACGTTGTTGATCTCCTTGATATGCGTGACTTCAGGAATCTTACTAAGTGGCACAATATGAGGAACTGATTCGTTCTTTCCTTGTACCAGTAAAAAAAAGCTGATCCATATGTCGTTTTTTCGGGAAACTTGTAAATGCTACACCCATTGACTAATGAATCGTTGAGTGCCTTTGCTGTTAGATTGACCAAAAATTTTATTTTTATCAATGCTGTCCAGTCCTCAACTTTTGTCCCTGCCGAGGGTTAAACCATTCACAGCACCGTTGCTAAATAGCAGCTTTTGGAGCAATCAAAGAACTAATGCCACCTGCTTCCGTGTGTGCTTATGAGGCTAATCCTCCAACTGTGACAATGGAACCACTTACAGCCTAAATCATGTACGTTCCTTGTGCCCCCAGGGTACTTTCCATGTATCAAAAGTAATTTCACACCTATGCCCCAGTTTTGCACCACCTCTTGTTTGCGCCACAGCGACAAATCGTGGTCGTCAACCATCTCAGCGATCACCCAAAGGCCAGTTTTACAGAGGGCCATTATAAACCTCGTAGTATTCATAGTACATTTAGTAACCATACTCAGCGGACTTGTTACAACTGTGGTTTCCGTGGCCATATTGCAGTTAAATTTTCCTGATAGTTACCCTAAGAGGCGTCGTTACTGATGATGAGTACCAGTCACTGCCGTACTGTACTTATCATAGAATACATGGACATGAACATCTGAGTGCAATGCTCTCTACAACCTTCAGTACTCTAGGTCTTTCCGTAGCCGTTCCAACCGCAGAAACCCGTAGAGGAAACAGACGTCGTGGTTCTCAAACTAACCGAACCAGGCTCATTCTTCCCAATTCGGGGGAATTCGAGCACCCCAGTCAAAACCCTCCCCTGGTGACAGTAGGTGATAATGGTAACCATCCCCGTTCACAATTCCTTTGAAGCCTTAAGCAGTCTCGAGAATGACAATCCTGCTGATGATGTTGCTTTCACTGTCTCTGAGTAGATGATTTTGGGGATGAAGTGGAACAAATCTTTGCTGTGACAATCCACCTTTTTGTTTGCACATAACTTCCAATGCAACCATAGGCCCTATAGTGCAAGCATTCGTTCATAATGCGCCATTCATTTGTTCATGACTCTGGTGTGCAAGTCAATATTATTAGGTTAGGTTTGTTTAAGGATAAGCAGTTACGAATGTCCCTTTTCGTAGAACCGAAATCATGTGTCCTCCCTTAGTGGAGTAGCTGGTTCTCAAACCCGCGTTTTCCGAGGTCGGACTTCCCCAACTTTTTCTATCCAAGGTAGAGCCTTCACTGCTTCTTCCTTGTTGTCGACCAGATTACTTTCCCTGGTGACCTTCTACTGGGATTTGCTTCATGCGAGACTTATGCATTGTGCTCGACCCTTATCGATGGCATGCCAAATTGATGATTGATCGTACCATTTTGGGGTTACCAGCTTGGATCGAGATCTGCCTACTGGGCCCAGAGTATGACATTCGAATTAAGTCCTTACAGGCCAGTGCATTTTCAGTAGCGTACCCAAGCGGTCAGGCACTGATGATCCTGTCACTCCTGTCTGTGTTCCTGCAACTTCAGACTTGCAAGATAGTGTCCAGTTACTTCAAGTGTCCGAGGACGCTCTGACTGCCTTGAGTGCTGAGCCCATCCCCACAATGTCTGCTAGTTCAAGTAGTAGTTTTTTCCACAGGGGACGCCTTGTCGGAAACGATTACTTGCAACTAGTTTAAAGCCATCTCTTGTGATGGGCACATGCCGTCTGCAGAAAGACGTTTCCGTCGCAGCTAGTGCCTCACTAGAGTGTCTGTTGTTGTTCCTTTGTGTTCCAGATAGTGATAACGTCCTAGTTGACAGTGATTCCCGCAAAGTAAAAGGTCTATTTGTTGAACCATCCTTACATGTTGTAAGAGATAGTAAGATCCATTTTTCTTAGCTAGCACTTCTGGTACCAGTGTTGTCTCAGAGCTAATACCAATTTTGTTGACCTTGTTCACTATCCTTACCCTGTTCAGGTAGAGGATGAGTTGCCACCTGACCCCGTGGGTCGGTGCTATTTCTACGGGGAGACCTCATCCACTTCACTGGATCAATCTGTTCCCAGTTGAGGAGAAAAAACCCTTTGCTCCCACTGACTTCCCA